TCCATCCATCCATCCATCCATCCATCCATCCATCCATCCATCCATCCATCCATCCATCCATCCATCCATCCATCCATCCATCCATCCATCCATCCATCCATCCATCCATCCATCATCAAGTGCTCAAATTGTTAAGATTTTATCCAATGTGTTGGCTCTTTTTTTAAAAGCAAACTACAGTAGTATTAGTATTTTTAATCAAGCATCTTAAGAGTATTTTCATTTTATTTGTATTATAATGAATTTGACCCTATTTTATTGTTTGCAGCTCTGAGATATTTTAATTTTCTACATTAAAAATATGTTTTGTTCATTGCCTTTTCTGGGAGAAAAGTGGCATATAAACACAGTCAATCAATCAAATGTATTATTTAGCTATAAATTCATAAACTTCTTAAGATACCTGTATTTATGTACTGAAGCAGCGTCCAAACACCTCCCACTTCCACTGAAATATTTTGTTCCTTATACATGTACTAGATCTATATATATATTTATCTATGTCTTTCCAAACTTGGAGCCCATCCAGAACTTTTGAAGTGGGGTGGTTGTTTTCTTGGGCGACAGCTGCCAGAGCCCCCTAGCCAGCATCTCTACAGTATATCGATTCTCTCGCGCTCATAAGGAATACGTTGCTGTTAATGGCATCAGTTTCTGTAGATGGCTTACAAGCCCTGTTCCAGCTCTCCTGTGAACTGGCGATCCAGGCTTTGGGGCAAAGCTGGAGGAAACAGGGAGGGTGTCTCAGGCTCCAGTCTTGGGGAGGGGCAAACCCAACCCCCAGCATTTCAAAAGCCTTAAGACACACTAGCTTTAGTGCCATTTGATATCAGTTCCCCACGAAGGCCTTTGATGCTCAGCCTGTTTCCAGGAGGAGAAAAGCCGCCCCCCCTTCCATCCAGCTGTGTCCAACCCTCCCCCCTTGCTCTCTACTTCAAAGCATGCTTGGTAGCTCACCCTTGGGGGGAACTGGCCAGCCGGCTGGCTGGCCGTCACTTTCACAAGTTGTCCTGCTGGGAGGGCTCTTTCCTCTTCAAAAGGAGAATACCTCTCCTTAAAACCAGGAATGTTAATTCTGTCCTGGCGATGACAGGGTTGTCTTCTTCCCCCCCACTGTCAAGGAATGTGAGCTGATATACAGGAAGAAGAAAAAGAAAAAGAGTGTGTGTTATGTACTCAGACAAAGTTTGACCGCCTCTGCATGTTAATTCTACCCTAGGAGAGAAATCCATGATGGAATAGGCGGGGGCAGAGGAGCACACTGCTTTCTACCATCTCCAAATCCCAAGACATATCATAATGAGGCCAGGAAAGTTGTTTTGACACTCGTAGCAGAAAATTCCACAACTGCCTCTCCCCATCCTGGCAGCTACGCACGATGAGGCCAGGAAAGTTGTTTTGACACTCGAAAATTCCACAACTGTCTCTCCCCATCCTGGCAGCTATGCACGAGTGACTTCCAAAATGCCCTGTCCTCAACAGCCTTACTCGCCAGTTGCAAACAAGGCTGTGGCTTCTTTTAGGAAATCAATCCACCTCATTTTTGGTCTCCCTCTTTTCCTGCTGCCTTCCACTTTTCCTAAAATTATTGCCTTTTCCAGCAAGTCTTGTCTTGTTAAAAATTATTGCCTTTTCCAGCAAGTCTTGTCAAATCCCCAAAGTACAACAGCCTCAGTTTCATTGTTTTGTGCTTCCAGAGAAAGTTCAGCCTTGATTTTATCTAGGACCCATTTGCTCATCTTTCTGGAACTCCAGAGTCTTCTCAAAGGTCCCTTCCAGCAACATATTTAGGATGCACCAATGTTTTATCCTGTTGCCTTCCTCATCCATACATAATAACTGGAAATACAATTGGGTTGATGATTTTGGCTTTGATCTCCAGGGACACATCCTTATATACAATATTTGCTGGTTCCTTCACAGTTGCTCACCAGAGTCTCACTCTTCTTATTTCTTGGCTGCAGTCTCTATTTGGTTTGATGACTGAACCAAAGTGTGCAAAATATTTAACAATATCACTTTGTTTATTGTCAACATTAAAGTTATGTTTAGCACAGTAAAAGGCTTTGCTCTGGCCTGTAAAGAATAGATTGTCCTTCTTTGAGATTCTTTGGTGTGCTCCAGTAGCCGACATATATTTGGGATACGATCTTTACTGCCTCTTCCTTTTCAGAATACAGCTTGAACATCGGACGCCTGTGGTCCATACAGGGTAAAAATCTTTCTTGCAACACCTTGAGAATCCCTGTTCTTGCATGGGAAATTAACACAACAATCCTATGGTTACTGCATCCCTTAGCATCTCCTTTCTTCGAGATTGGAAGGTATATTGAATGTTTCCAGTCTGTAGGTCATTGTTTTGTTTTCCATATTTGATGGCACATTTTTGTTAGGATTTTGACAGATTCAGTATCTATAGTTTGAAAGAGTTCTGTCAGTATTTCATCAACCCTTATTGACTTATCTTTTCCAAATGCTTTCAGAGCAGTTTTTACTCTACTGTCTAAAAGTGCATGTTCTTCATCATTGGCTTTCTCTTCAAAGGAAGTTGTCATTCTTATACAGTGGAGCCTTGCATTACGACGTTAATTCGTTCCAGCAAAATCGCTGTAGAACGAAAACATCGTAATGCGAAAATAAAAAACCCATTGAAACGCATTAAAACCCATTTAATGCGTTCCAATGGGCTAGAAACTCACTGTCCAGCGAAGATCTTCCATAGGGCAGCCATTTTCGGTGGCTGTCTTGCGAGGAATCCGTCCTAGAAAACAGCGAGGAGCCATTTTATTTACCTGGCAGCCATTTTGAAACCACCGATCAGCTGTAGGAAAATTCTTGTTTTGCGAAGAATCGGTTCCCGAAGCAGGGAACTGATCATCGCAAAGCGAAAAAAGCCTATTCAGACCATCGTTTTGCGATCGCAAAAGCGATTGCAAAAAAGTCATTGTAATGTGGTTCGGGGCAATCATAAAGCGGGGCACGACTGTATTCCTTTTATATATTCTTCAGTATATTGTTTCCACCTTCTCTTTATTTTATCTTAGTCAGATAGTATGTTGCCCCATATGTTCCTAGAAACAAGGCACACTTAAGAGGAAAAGGTAGTTTATTCTAACAGGAACTTGCCTCAATTTGCATTTTTAAAAATGTCAGCTAGGAGCAGAACAGGTCTGTTTGCATGTCTGATTACTCAGGTACCTAGCATGGAAAGATCTGGCAGCTTCCAGGAGTGAGAAGAAGAAACAGGCCTTAACCTGCCACCTAATCGAAAAGAAGCTGCAGTTTTCTAGCTCCCTGATGGTCAGCATGGATACAGACTTTGCCATCAATCAAGTTTGCAACAGTAGAGAGAGAAATAAGCAGCAACAGATATTTGAGTAGCTGAGGGCCCAGGAGGCAAAGCTTTTGAGGAATTTAATAAAAGGAAGCTGCAGGGTCTCAGGGAGAGAGCCCACCAGCTGAACAGCAATCTGCTCTTAATTAGGACAGCTTCTCAACTCATCTAAACCATCACCCCAGTGTGAATTTTCTCTGATATCCCAATGAATGGATGCAAAGTTTAACAAAATGCAGGAATTGTAATCATAGGAATTTTGGAGTAACCCAGAAGGTTATGGAATAACTTATTGGTATGGAACAACTGATTGGTTCAAAATTGGGAAAGGAGTATGACAAGGCTGTATATTGTCTCCCTGATTATTTAACTTATATGCAGAATACATCATGCAAAAGACTGGACTGGATGAATCCCAAGCCAGAATTAAGATTGCCGGAAGAAATATCAATAACCTCAGATTTGCAGACGATACCACTCTGATGGCAGAAAGTGAGGAGGAATTAAAGAACCTCTTCATGAGGATGAAAGAGGAGAGCACAAAAAAATGCTCTGAAGCTCAACATTAAAAAAAACTAAGATCATGGCCAATGATCCCATCACCTCTTGGCAAACAGAAGAAGATATGGAGGCAGTGACAAATTTTACTTTCCTGGGCTCCATAATCATTGCAGATGGTGACAGCAGCCACGAAATTAAAAGACGCCTGCTTCTTGGGAGGAAAGCAATGACAAACCTAGACAATATCTTAAAAAACAGAGACATCACTTTGCCGACAAAGGTCCGCATAGTCACAGCTATGGTTTTTCCTATAGTGATGTACAGGAAGTGAGAGCTGGACCATAAAGAAAGCTGATCGCCAAAGAATTTATGCTTTTGAATCATGGTGCTGGAGGAGGCTCTTGAGAGTCCCCTGGACTACAAGGAGAACAAACCTATCAATTTTGAAGGAAATCACCCCTAAGTGTTCACTGGAAGGACAGACCCTGAAGCTGAGCCTCCAATACTTTGGCCATCTCATGAGAAGACTCCCTGGAAAAGACCCTGATGTTGGGGAAATGTGAAGGCAAGAGGAGAAGGGGACGACAGAGGATGAGATGGATGGACAGTGTAATCGAAGCTACCAACATGAATTTGGCCAGACTCCGGGAGGCAGTGGAAGACAGGGGGGCCTGATGTGCTCTGGTCTGTGGGGTTACGAAGAGTCAGACATGACTTAACGACTAAACAACAACAACCCAGAAGGGTGAACAAGAGTAGATCCAGAGCCTGTCCTTTCATTCTTCTACATCATTCAGATGTCATGGTTTGAATGAGAAAGTACAAGCCTGGGAAGGTACACTAGGAAGTACTGGGACTGGAGCTCAATTTTTCCCCGTAACTATGAAATAGCTCAGCGATTTCAGCCTCTGGCTGTGGGAGTTCAGTTCCCCACTGTGACTCCTGACAGGAGCTGGATTTAATGATCCATACAGCCCCTTCCAGCTCTGCATTTCTAAGGTAACACCCAGAAGGAACCCTACTGCTTACATCCCTTCATTCTGAGATTTGTCCATTAATTCCTACTCTCCATCGCTTGTTCTTTAATAATAATAATTGCATGCCATCAGGTATATTCCAACTTATGGCATCCCTTTCCAAGGTTTTCTTTAACCATTTTCCAATATATATTTTTAAAGGCTTCTGTTTTTAGTACACAGGTTCTACATTTGCTCAATAGTCGCTGGGAACAGGCGTTGTCAAAATCCTTTTGGATGTCCAGGTAGATAATGTTTACTGATGTCTGTGCATTTATGACACTATCAGATGTCTCTAAAAGGTCACCAAGACAGGAACCTTTGCAGAAGCCATGGTGATGATTCTTCTAAAAGGCTTGATCTTCTATATGCTTATTCTTACTGACACATAACTAAGATTTTCCACCAATTTCTCCTGGAACTGTAAATTTATCCCAAACAGGCATGAATTGAAGTGATCTGTCATTTCCTGGAGTTCACCAACAGAGTCATCCTCAAGAATGGAAACTCTCCAGTCCTCAGAGACTGCTGTTAAAAATATGTTTCATGTTGTAGTTAGATCAGCGATTTAACAGTTGAGCTATTTAAATCTCCATGTAGATATTACCTACAGCTTTGTTTGTAATTCCCAGTAAGTCTTAGAACACTGTCCCCTGTCAGCGCAATTTGTCTCTGCCCCTTATTAACCCCTCCTGAAACCTTTAGGGTATCTCAGTACTGAAAACACATAAAAATCATTGAACTCCTGCAACTCTCATTTTCTTTTAGTACTACTTTAATTTCCAATGGTGAGGATGGCTCCTGATAGATTTGAGAACTGTTTATGATCTTGATGCTCTCAGTGATGTACTCCTCAAAATCTTTCCCTCCCACATGCTTCATTCTTTGCTTGCATTTTGTCTGCAGGTTTGTGTTCCCTCTAGTTTCATATGGAAGCTTTTCTCTTTTCTGTCATACACTTTTCAGAGAGGTAGCTGTGTGTTTTGCTTCAACAACCACAATGCTGAAATTTATTTCAGTGTAAGCTTTGGGGGATTGTAATCCCCTTGGTCAGACATGTATTTTGTCTTTTAAACTTAGTCTTTCAGGGCTCCTCCTTCCTAACCTTGTAGCAAGAATGTTTGTTGCAAACTTGGAATTTAAAAGCAGGGACGTGGTGGCGCTGCGGGCTAAACCGCAGAAGCCTGTGCTGCAGGGTCAGAAGACCTAGCAGTCGTAAGATTGAATCCACGCGATGGAGTGAGCTCCCATCGCTTGTCCCAGCTCCCGCCAACCTAGCGGTTCGAAAGCATGGAAATGCAAGTAGATCAATAGGGACCACCTCGGTGGGAAGGTAACAGCGTTCCGTGTCTAAGTCACACTGGCCATGTGACCACAGAAGATTGTCTTCGGACAAAACGCTGGCTCCATGGCTTGGAAACGGGGATGAGCACCGCCCCCTAGAGTCGGACACGACTGGACAAAAATTATCAAGGGGAACCTTTACCTTTACCTTTAAAATCCTCCTTCCTAACCTTGTAGCAAGAATGTCTGTTGCAAACTTGGAATTTAAAAGCAAAGTAAAAAAGACATTTTCATACATAACATTACCCATTCCCTCCCTGCCATATCTGTATCACCAGGCTTTCAAAAACTAATCCATATACAGTAACTGGGTATTCTCAGAAGGGGTGGGGGGGAAGAGCAATTGAATCTGTTACTCTCAACTGGAGCAGATCCACTAAAATCAGGTTCAGCAAATGGCCTCTGGTTTCCAAAATACAGAAGATAGGCTATGCCATACTGTGTTGCTGTCTTGTTCCTGGGACCGTACAAAATCAATTGTTGACTCTGCTATTAAGGGACATCACATGGGCCAATCTGCTAAGAGAGAAAACTTTTGGATGTCCAAATAAAATCAAGTGGGCTACTCAGCTTATATTGCTCCAACCGCACCAAGGCAGAGCGGCATTGCTATCTGTGTGCTTCACTCACATTTCCCACCTCTCTCGCAACCGAGATCTGCAGGAAAATTCCCAAGGACCTGGAAAATACTTTAAACCTTACTCTGCTTGTGATCATCTTGCCATAGTGATTTATGCAGAATTCAATCCAGTAGCCCGCCTCTCTGACACACTCCATGAAAACCTGCTAGGCAATAGGCTTGCGGCTTGCTGTGCAACTTGTTAACGGGTCTGTGTGAACAATGGTAATTCAATGTCTCCAAATAAATTAGATCCCACAAGCCTGACGTCTGCCCACACTGTATTTGATCATAGCCACAAAGGTTTCCGACCCTCATTCATTCCACATACAACCTCTACTTCCCTGACAGCTAGAGGGAGGCAGGGAAAGAGACAGCTGGAACAATGAAACCACTGCTGCTTGGAGACATTCACAGAAATGCATTTATTTTTCACCATCATCAGGATTATGAAATCACAGCAGCAGAATTCAGTATGTACAAAAGAATCCAGCATCCCTGGAGAACTAGCTTGGAAGGACAGAGGGCCATCTGGCTAATCATAAATACAGGGAGGGGGAGAAGAGTAACCGCAAGTGGGAGATCAATGAAGTTCCACAGCAGAAATCAAGAGGTCTGAACAAAATTAAAATGGAGAAAATGCCTGAAAATCAGAATAAAAGAACCCAAATACTACAGTGGCACAAATGAACAATTAAATCTCTGCGTACTTTATACCTCAAGTGTCTACCTTAAAGACATTCCCATGCCTACATGAACGCAAAATCCATGCAGACAGTAGTACATTATGACACAGCATGTCATGTCTGCACTGTGTTTATACACAGCTTGTTTTTTCCAAGAATCTGCAGATTTTGGCTATATGTAAGCACAAGCATGTACAACAAGGAGCCCATTGTATTGCACCCTGTGATCTGATCACACAGGGTTCCAAAATCCTTACAGAGGAATGCTCAAATTCAGGAATTTAAAGGCTGAAAAGACAGCATAAAAATGTGGCATTCTGAGGCAAAACTAGTTTGAAAATGAGCTGTTATTAGGGGGCTGTTGGGAAATGCCAATTTGTTTCACAGCAACATGGGACTGGATATATTTAGAATAGGAGTGTGCCATCCGTCGTTTTTTGGTGGTGGTGGTGGTTGGGTGTTTTTTTTACTTCAACTTCCAAAATTCTCCAAGAAAAACCAAGGCAGAATTCTGGGTGTTTTCAGTACAGAAACACACCTACATCTTACTCACCATGTCATGGTATATGATTTTGTATGAAGAAGCCGTTAAAATGCCATTACATGGGTGCAGAAAAAGTTGCTCAGAAAATGAAAGTGTCTTTAAATTTGAGGCTTGAAAATAGTTTACTATAATCACCGCAAAACATTTTTAAGATACCAAAACAATTAGCTAGTTACAGCTGAGCAAGGTCACTAAATTATAATATCCTGGCAGCTGATTGATGTCTTGGTTACAACTTGTAGATATAGAAACAATCTGGAACAAGCACTTCTCAGAAGGCCTGAGACAGTCTGGAAGTGAGACTCTGTTCCCAAGAAGTGAAATGCAGGTGTCTGTAGATGTGTCTCTGTTGGCTAGAATTCCCAGAATTCTGCCTGGTATAATTTTGGAGGATTCTGGGAGTTGGAGCCCCCTCCCAAAAAAGGAATAGCGCACCCATAACGTAGACACATTCTGGTAAAGACCTCAAACATGTGCTTCCTCATCTATGCACCCCATTCAACCCATATGTTCATATGGCTCTGCCAATTTAGTTTCAACAGCGTTTCCCACACGATGTCCCACCTTGAACACCAAGAGTCATCACAGAAAGAACTGCAAGCTGGCTACAAAGTGAAAAAGATTCACAACTGCCTGGTCTGAAGGAGTGGCATCAAACATACAACAGCCACTTAGGAATTTGCCATGGAAGGCTAGGGTTGGAGGAGAAGACAGCTGCCATTCTGAAGACTTAGTGACAACTTTGAAAGCCTTTGGTTTCTGTTTCAAATCCCAATGAAAGCAAGGCACCTATGACTCCCTGCAACAGCAGCATTGGCCTTTATTGGTGAACAGCACATTACCTGTTGGGCACATTATAGTAATTTCTTCATATTCATGTCTGGATTTGCCTTTTCATCGAAAAGCAATCTCTTTAAGAACACTGGACAGTATCCTGTTCTATGGGAATGTAGCTATAACCCTGTAACTCCAACTATGGAGCCACCATGCACATTGTCAACACCTTATGAGATCATCACAACAGCTAGTGCAGTTGGAATTTTGTATATGTAAATATTGAAGGGGATACTGGCTACACAATTCCAAACGTGTATTCTCAGAGACAAACACTGATGGTGGTGGGAAGACGTATTTGTTCATCCTGCAACTACTGTGAGCCTTAATTTGGCAATGATTGCACTATTATGTCACAAAAACCCTTCTCCATTGACTTAGAAGTCAAAACTATTGCTAGAAAAGAGCTTGCAGAAAGGACACTGGCCTTGAGCATCAGGTCTAGGAGCTGCCTGCACTTCCTGGAGCTATTTTTGGCAAGTTATTGGGAGGAGGACAAACTTCTCAGTTAGTGGACTCTCTGTGTTATTTCTTTAAAAACTAACATCCCTGTAAGAGATGCAGCACAGGGACAGCTTGATGGCACACTGCGTGCATTCATTTTGATGCAAGACGTTTGACTTCTAATTGGCCTAGAGCCAACTGGTCACTTGCTACAACTGCCCTTGTTCCTCCTTAACCAATTGAGTTGGCAAAAATACCTTCTGCTACCTCACATTCTGAATGCCTGCTCTGTTAATAGGAGTACAGGCACTGCCTCTCCTTAATGCAGCACGAGCCACTCAGTGTTCAAGAGTTGTGCTAAAGAGGACTGGAAAAGGTTGAGCATTCGTTGGAGGATGAGAAGTAGTGCAAATGAGAAGAGATCCTAAACATGGCCTTTGATGTCTCATCCAATTAACAAAACTGGCAAGAGGGATGACCCCTTTCATCACGACAGATAAAGCCATAGGTCAAAAATAGAGCAGGATTAGTAGAAAAACAATACACCCCAACTTCTTCTGAGTTAGCTGGAAGGAATGTGGGAAAATATGGATCCAGAATCAATGGCCAAGACTTTCTTGTGTCAAAACCACTGATGAAAAGGAGTGTAGGACAAGCAGTTTAACATCTTGCTAGTCATACGGGGGTCATCCAACACCCATTACATAAGCAGAAGTCATGCTGTGTTCTTCACAATCAGTGCTTGTGCAGTGGCTGTAACTGGGGGATCCTGCGCAAGGCTTTTTTGCTCCCCAGTGTTTAAAAGATCTTGGCCAATCATTCTGTTCTTCTAAGAAAAGACTTCATATTAATAAGGGTTTTAGCTTTAGTTTTCTTGCTACTAGAAATCAGGCATTTTCCTGATGTGGTTTACGCTTCTAGAGGCTTTCAAGGCACACTGCAGCACATAGTTGTATTTTTTAAAAAACCAAACAGTTTAACTACAAGCTTGGTCTCTCTCAGCCTCTCTCTCTCTCTCTCTCTCTCACACACACACACACACACACACACAAATACACACACACAGAATTTTGGAAACTGTAGTTCCTATGAATGGGACTAGAACGTCTTGACAGAATTTTCAACCAGCTCAGGGTTCAGCACTGGCAATCCCAGTGACCGTTTGAGTTGGTGGTAATTTCTTTCAGAACAATGGCTCCCACGGCCAACAAAGCAAACTAACTTTCTATCCAACAAAGAAGAGAATGCAACACCATGAGTCCCCTACTACACTGAAAGTACTATCGGTAAAAGCAGAACTGAAGTTTATTCCATCTTGGACACTGTAGTTCCAGTCTGTAAGTATAAGGAGCTCATTCATTCATCTTGAGGCCCCAAGGCTGACGTACCCAGCTGTAGGAAAAGTGCTATAATCAAGAACTCTGAAAATCCTGTTAACCAATCAGTGCAAGCAAAGGCAATACCCTCTTCCAAACTGCACCCACCCACGATGCAGAGTGACCACAGAAAAGTCATTTTTAATTAACTGCTATCAAGAATCTCTCCCTGAGAGATTGGGGAACCTCACAACCAGCCCCGGTATATCCCACAAGGGAAAGGAGGAACAAAGTCCTTGCTACATGTCTAGCAAACTCAAGCCCACATAGTGTTTTTTCCACATGGGAATCTTCCATCAAGAAGGAGTTTTGGCAAAAGCAAGATGCAGGAGCCTCCCAGCCCAGCCCCAATCCTTAGACATTCAAAGGCAAGAATGATGAAAGAAAGGGATAAAAAGCCCAACAGGGCAAGGAAGAATGGTTATTACAGAGGACAAATGGACTTCTTTTCCGGGAGCTCCCAGGCCAAACTGCTCCATGTCTTCCTGGGTTGAAACGCCACCATTTTCAACACTTGGCTTCAAAAGGGGAAGGGGGAGGGTGGTGTCATCCATCACCGCATGTGAAGAGTCAAGGTGACTATCAGGATAATCCCCAAAAAGAGGATGAAGGGAAGCCAGGTCTTCACAAAGCCCCCTATGCTGTAAGCAAGAAACAGAACACATGCAGTGGGTTTAATAAAAGCATTCCCACAATATACAGTACTACACCTCTTCCACAATCTTTGTGAGCCTAGGACCGTGAGATTTCTTCTCCTTAGTGACTCTTCTTGCTCCTTCAGCATATGGGTGTGTTTACATGAAATAGCCATGCCCTTGCTCTAATCTGATTTTGGGCATCAGAACTGAGAACATCAGGCATCAAAAAAGTTACTCCTAGAATCTCACAACTAGGTTAGCCACACAGTACAGGTAATTTGTTGCCTCTGTTGTCATAAAGGGACAGCAGCAGTCTGAAGAAGTATAATTTCCTATCTCTGTTACAAACTGATTTTGTAACTTTTATCAGTAACATGGCACTCTTACCAAGAGTAAGAGGCTAGCACTGGTAATTTGATAAAGAAAAACCGAAGAAAGGGAAGGCAAAGGGGAAACAGAAACAGTTTTAGCACAGCACAGGAACTAGAGGAGTTAAGGCAAAGCTTTCAAGGATTGGTGAGATTTACAAAGGTAACCGAAGCAGGTTGTAAGCAAATGTGCAGGATTCTCAAGCTGCTGCTCTTTGGACATGGGGCAGCAAAGGAGAAAAGGCAGAGAGTCCTTTGAGGGAGCAGGAGGCCTTTGAGTGGCAGAAAAGGAAAGATCTTCTAATCATCTTAGAACTGCAGAGCTGAAAGGAACCCTACGGATCACTGAATGCAGCCCCTCAAGAAGGCACCGCAGGGGAATCGAACTCCCAACCTCAGGCTCCTAAACCACTGAGTTATTCAGGAGTTCTTGAGCTGTGACCATGCAGTGATATAAAAACAGACAGACATTTGATAGCACCACGGCCACAGAGGTAAAGGAGGAAAGAGTGCGTGCTGGATTTGGAGGTAGAGAGGGCAACAAACAACCTTTGCTGCTTTCCATGTTATGTAAGGGAAGAATTTCTTTAAAAAATGGCGATGAACCATCTGCAGAGAATATGGCAACCTTTAAGTTAGTGAGCAACCCATTTCATCCTGTTTCTAAGCTCCTCAAAAATAATGAAAAGGAGATTCTTTGCATTCTGTACGTGGCGAGGGGGGGAAGTGTGTATTTTGGGGGGAACTGCTTCATCCCTCCTTGACTCACATAATATTACAAATCAGAGAACTCAGCTTTTTTCTGGTAGAAGAAAGCTCCAAACAACCTTTGCTGCTTTCCATGTTATGTAAGGGAAGATTTTTTTAAAAAATGGCGATGAACCATCTGGAGAGAATATGGCAACCATTAAGTTAGTGAGGAACCCATTTCATCCTGTTTCTAAGCTCCTCAAAAATAATGAAAAGGAGATTCTTTGCATTCTGTACGTGGCGAGGGGGGGAAGTGTGTATTTTGGGGGGAACTGCTTCATCCCTCCTTGACTCACATAATATTACAAATCAGAGAACTCAGCTTTTTTTCTGGCAGAAGAAAGCTCCTTGTTTAAATACTCAGTAGCTATGCAGGAGCAAAGTACTTGCTCTTCTTCCCAACAACGTTGTTTTAAGTTCCAAACAGATTGTGTCCCCTCTTGACGTCTTTACAAGACTCACTAAATGCTGGGCTTTTGAGCCCCGCACCAAAAGAGTTGCAAGAGTTACTTGCAATCCAGGAGTATTCCAGAGTACAAACACTGTGATATTCTCAGATCCGACACCTTTTATAGAGTCCCCGTCCCCGCCTACAATGGCCTTTAGAGTAGTGAGTGAGCTTTCCTACTCACCTTACATACTTTCCATATATCAAGGAAAGGAAGCAAAGTTTGACCATGTTCCAAGAAGTGCTGTTGTCGTATCGCATGAGGTTTAAGGCCAGGGCGACATGTGAGTGGCAGTTGTCACAGCAGAGGTTGTGCTGAGATAGAATAAGTACAGTTAAGAATATTTGTATTTCGTATTTCTTACCCATTTTTAGGTCTACCTGAATATTCTGTTGGAAAACACCATGAAAGAAGGAGGTCAATATGCAGCTATCTAGACATTACTGGATTGCAATTCGCATCGGTCTTAATAAGAGTGGTCAGTAGTGAGTGACAATGACAGATACAACCCAAGAATTCCTGGAAGGCCAAAATTTACTAATCCTGGTGTAAAAAAATCACTGTGCATGTTCAGATGCATATCATACTTGTCTTTGTCAAGACATTCATCTAATGTGTTTCCCTTCACAGTTACATTACGAGAGCAGGGCCCTCCCTATCATTCACCAAATTGGATTCTAGTCCTGAGAACTGGAAATGAAGGTGCTACAGAGGTTTGTGTGATAGTGATTAATGAACTTCTGTGAATAACTACAGTTCTCAAGCTTGGGCTGCAGCTCCCAGAAACTCTGATAATTGGTTAGGGTTTCTGGGATTAAAATTCCCAAACACCTACCACATAAGCATAGAAATCGCTGATTCTGGAGAAATGTTTCATAGGAAAATTATGAGTTCTTTCCTTCTATAGGGGGAAGTATATAAATTCATATAGATACAAGTAATGGTATTTAATGACCTAAAAGCTATTAATGTTAATTTTAAAACATTAATTTTAGAACAACACATTTATTCATGATGCTTTGCCTTTTTGGTTAGGAACTATAACAAATGCAATGCATTTAATTTACATGTCATTTCCTTCTCCGTAACTATGGCAATTATTTCAAGATTATAAAAAAAATCTTTGATCAATAAAGATCATGGTGCAGTGGTTAAACTGCAATATTGCAGTTAAGACTCTGCTTATCACCTGAGTTTGATCCAAACAGATTCAGGTAGCTGGCTCATGGGTGACTCAGTGTTCTCATCCTTCTGATGTCAGTAAAATGAGTACCCAACTCACAGAGGGTGACGCTTGCATAATTATGTTACAAACTACCCAGAGAGTGTTCTAGCACTATGTGTCGATATATAAGTCAAAACAACAATGGTTCTTGCTTACAAAAAAAATGAGACATTAAAAATGATACGAAAATTCTGGCAGATCTACACAGCTATGCATCAAATCAGATTATACTTTCCAAAATATCCTTCTTTAACCACAGAAGCACAGCCCCTCCAAAAAATTTCCTGTGAGGTCTTCTGTTCTTCAATATACAGACTTGTTTTTAGGAACAGATTCTATATCGGTTTTGTCCCAGATATCAAAACACATATATTCCAGGCTGGAATTTCCTTCTTCAGGCTGCCACAAAACTCTTTTCTGTTTTTTCCTGCAACACACTATAAACTACCATGGCTATCCTTTCCAAGCTTGCCATTTCAGTGCAAAGGTCTTGTCAAGAACCCTTTTCTTTAACAAGCAAAATTAACCAAGAAGAATCTTGCAACAGATGATCCTAAGATTGTATTCTCAAAGGATTTCATGGCTGGGATCCAATGGTGGTTGTAGTTTTTTCGGGCTATTTGGCTGTGTTCTGGAGGTTTTTCTTCCCAACGTTTTGCATGTCTCTGTGGCCAGCATCTTCAGAGGACATCTGAAGATGCCAGCCACAGAGACTGGCGAAAGGTTAGAAAGAAAACTTCCAGAACATGGCCAAACAGCCCGAAAAAACCTACAACAACGATCCTAAGATTCTTACTTGAAAGCAACCTCTGGCATTCGCTGCTAAACCATGCACTTGTATGATTACAAAAATTAAAAACAGCCCGAAAAACCTACAACAACAATCCTAAGATTCTTACTTGAAAGCAGCCTCTGGCATTCACTGCTAAACTATGCACTCACATATGATTACAAAAATTACATTAATTGTCAGGAATTGCCCATCCATCACTTTTTTCTTTTCTTTTTGCAGAATACACAAAAGTAGACTACACTGTACACATTTTAAGACTTTATTTCCTGCACACTCCTAAATGATGCCTAAAATGTCAGCCAGCTCCCATGTACTGTAAGGCTCCTCTCTTCCCAAAACAAATATATAGAAAAAGTTGTCTGAACAGATCCACTGGATTTTGCTCTTGTAGTATTTTCTGTGCCATCCAACGGACTCTATTTGGACCAAAAAAAAAAAAATCCAAGCCATTTTCTGGTGAGCTATGATGCAATAAAGTAGAAGTGATGTGCTCTGAATTCAGGAGGTTTGCTCCATCTGAGAGAAACTGAGATTTCTTCAGGGCAGAGTACACTAAAATTCATTTGGGTGTGGAAATAACCTGATAAAATAATATATTCTATTTCTTATTATTTTTATTCTACTTTGTTTTTTTCTGACTGTTAGGTCGCATACAATTCCACACACAGAAATATGTTTTTGGACACTGTGTGTTTTAATATCCTGAGTCAGAAAATACCCTACAACTATCACAATGCTAGTTTTGTATATTGTGTCTAATTTCAGTCCGTGCAGGTTACAATAACACACTGACAAGATTTTTCTTCTCTGACAGAAGTCTTGCACCCTATGTATCAGATGAAACTTTTACCATGGCTTAATCTGAAAACTAAGAAAAAAACCCCTCCATTTAAGAATATGCTGTTTCAGGCAAATGTTTAAAATGCAAAAAAACCCACAAGGGAAAAAGGAAGTTGCTCTTCTTAAAGCATTTTATTGACTCTACTTTTGAGAAAGGTTACAAGGAGGGGAGGGCAGGAAACCTGTGGTCTTTTGACTAGTGCTGCTGTGCAACCAATGAAAGCCTCAACTAATGGCTCTGCCAATTAGGGCAGCACTCCAACTCCATCTGGGGCACAATGTGGTTCTCATCCTGAAAGAGAGGAGAGCCCTAAATCTGTATCTTGCTGAATTTCAGCAACTGGAAAAAAAATGCACTTCAGACATGTTACAAGTGCATTTTTTTGCCAGCTGCTGAAAAATGTCTGTCAAGGGCAGTATCAGAAAATGACTCTAATTTTTCCGATTTTGCCTTCAGGTGAGCACTCTGATTTGTTGTTGAAGTCAACTCACCATGCGGTGCTTGTACTCCTCAGAGGCATCATGCACTGCTGTATCCCATGCGTTAGGGCCACAGGAATATACTTTGCTGGGATCCAGCTTCCAGTATCTGAAGAGCAAAGAATAAAAAGAATGGATACAACTAAAGATGTCAGTTCACATGTGTTGCTCTGTAGTCTTTTGTGTCTTTCCTTCCAGGGGTGAAATATATTCCCTTCCAATATACCCTCTTACTATAAGGATTTTCAAAATGAAATCAAAGATTAGGGTTGTGCTTACATGCTCCTACAATCACAACTGTACTGAAAACATGCAAAATTACTATTGGGTGCTGAATGCAACATCTTGAGCGTTACAATACATAGGCAATTTTCCAGCTGCTCAATTTTTTTTAAGCCTCAAAAAGACATAAGTGGCCATACACAGTGCTCTGGAATTCATTCCAAGCACAGTGGGTGACAAGGCATAATGCTTCTCTCCAACTTCCTTGAATTCTCCTAAAAGCCAATTCGTTAATGAAGTTTTTGGCACAATCACTAATGTACAACTACAACCAACTGAAGAATTTGTAACGGGAATAATTGTTTATCTCTGCATTTCCCTCCTGTTCATCCACTGTCTCCTTTATGCCTATTTTTAGACTCTGTGCAAGGACTTGCCCTCTAAATTTTATTATTTTATTCCATTTTTCTGTCCACTGATGCCCAAAACAATTTACAGGATTGCTTTGTCTAAAGACACGGAGTACTAGCACCCAAGACTGAGCTAGATGAACTTGTGGTCTGTATCTCCCTTAGAGTCCACCATATGTCAAACCTCTCTCCGTTTGATGCCCTCCATAGCTATTGGATTACAACTCCCATCACAAGCCAACAAGACCACGCTGGCAGAGGATGCAAGCAATTGTAGTTGAACACATCTGAAAAGTTGCAATTATGGAAATACAGAAGATGGAAAATGCTTAAGAGTTTATCCTTGGCAAAGAAGTCAGAGAACAGAGGGCCTTCAAAGGAAAACACTGTGAAGTGTTCATCATCTACAGTAGCTGTTTCAAACTTTTCATCCATGTGCCCTTTTCCAAAGGAGAGAAGAAGTTAACCAAAATAAACACTACCCTCAAATGATTCCGTGTTGGTTCCCAAATAAAGTGGAAGAACACTCAAGCAATGGATGTCAAGAGACAGTTTTTGGAACTTTAGGAGTAGCATTATAGGCTTCTTCTCTCCCCACCTCCCACAGATTTCAGATACACAATCTTACTGCTGTTGCTAAGCAAAGAAAAAAAAGTAGAGATGAATTTACAGGTTTCTCTGCTTTTCGTCACAATCTTGGGCAATAATAAATTACCTTCAAAACAGAACAGTAAGAAATACTATTGGGAGTTTACAACTTTACATGTGCCTTCTAGCTTGCTTAACTGGGAGAGACTTTTATGGGTTGGGAGTAATTGTCAATCTGTCCGCATGTAAGAAATACTATTGGGAGTTTACAACTTCACATGTACCTTCTAGCTTAACTGAGAGAGACTTTTATGGGTTGGGAGTAATTGTCAATCTGTCCGCATTAACCAATAATTCTCTCCTGTATGTGAGATTTCAAAGTGACCCCTGCGTCTCTGCTAACAAACTTTCTTCCTTACAGAGTCGTGTCTATTGATGGTGATTGATAGAAAATGTCTGTTAAAGCAGCGGTCCCCAACCTTTTTGGGACTGCGGACTGGCTGAGCCTCTGAGGAAGGCGCCCCCCCCCGCAGGTGCGCGCAGGTGCATGTGTAAAGGGGTGGGGGAGCGCTCATGCTGGCGCTGGCATGTGCACACATGCACAAAGCAGCTGTGGGGCGGGGAGTGTGTGCTGGGAGGGCAGGAGTCCTGTCTTTGTGGCCCAGTCTAGCTCAGGCCACAGACCAGCACCGAGCCACAGACCGGGGGTTGACGACCTCTGTGTTAAAGTATATTGAAGCAGAATTGTTAATATATTCACATTTATCAGTAAATGGAACATTTTAATTCTTTATATTAATGTCTCAGAGTGAGTCATTGAGATTGTAAGTGCCAGTTAATGATAGAGGATGGATTCTCTGGGAACTGCATTTTTCCATGTATAAGACGCTACCCACTTTTCTAAGTCAAAAAACTTAGCTTTGAGTATTCAGCCTCTGGATTCAGAACACTCAGACATTATGAATTCCTGTTGCATATGAGTCTACAGGCTCCACCTCCAACGAGGTGTGTTCCAATTGGTTTGTTCAGCATCAGCTGACGTCTGCTCCATAAGGCTTGTGACTGGAGAAAGCATTTGCAGAGGCAAGGTATGGACAGTTTTGTTCTCTCCTCAGCTTTCTTCCATGTATAAGACACCCCTCAATTTTTAATGTAATGATTTTAGGGAAAAGTAACGTCTTATACATGGAAAAATACAGTAACTATTTTAGTCTGTGAATCCCTACACTTCTGCTGCATAGCTGAGGAAAGTTAATGGCAAAAATTTCAGAACTCTGCAACAAATACTATGATTAGTGTATGATTGTACTACAAGATAAGGATGGGACTTCTAAAACATGAGGACTTTTCCATCTCATACTTCATCCAGAACCGCCTCCCCCAAAGCAGAATTATGGGAGTGAAAGCCACAAATCTTAAGGTGTTGGAAGACCTTGCTCTACTTCCATGCCATTCCCATTCTGCTTCTTCTTGAACAAGTAAGAAGAGTGCTACCCCTGCAATGTGAGTGTCCCTAGGATCTCTGTAACTTGCAAAGGTCCATAGGAAGGCAAGTCCTTATGTCTATTACACTGTCTGGAGGTAATTTCCAACTAAACTACCTCTCTCATGGATCTTTGTGAGTTGCGGAGAACCTTGAGATAATCACAATGCAAGGAGGGCCTTTTTTATTTTTATTTTCCTTTTTTTACTGTTTGAAGAAGAAGCAGAGTGGGAATTGCACAGAGGTAGAGAAAGCTGCTTCCTTCAGAGGTTTGGGGGTGCTGGATGAATTAGGGGATGGGAAGTCTTTGAATTCTGAAAGTTCTATCCTTACTAGAAGCTCAGAAGATTCAGATTCACACTTATGAAGAGATGCAATTTGCTGTCTGCTGCAATTGGAATATTTAGTTCTTACTAGCCTTTGTTAAACCTTATCCACTGAAAATCTCTTTGAAAGTAGGACTTGAAGGAGCTGGATGAGGTAAGCAGAACTTACTTCACAGGCTTCCCAAAAGCCATGTTGTCTTCCTACAGAACAAAAAATAAGAAGCACAATTCAGTTAGTGTACACCATAAAATAAAGACAATAAACTTACTGATTGCATCATTGTGAGCTTTCATAGTTTAAAGAGATGAAGTCCACCCCATCACCACTTTCTTCTCTCAGGCCTGCTGATAAATCTCACAGTGGGACTGTCTAGATTTGTTCCTCTCCTCTCTTTGGAAGAGGTGAGATAGTCATCCCCAACATGGCAGCCTCCACATACATTAGGACTACAAACACTGTCACCCCAGCCAATACACCCAACAAGAGTGGCAATTCAAAAAATGTGGAGGAATCAGTTTGGAGAAAGCTGGTGTATGAAACTTACTGTACATCAGTCTTGCTTCACAGAATCAAAATTCTGGGTTAGGCAATGCCCTTACTGGATCATTAGAAAGTTACAAATAAGATGAGCTTTGAAATTCTACAGAACTCTTCATCAGGCAAAGATAATATATAACTGATACAAAAATTGTACCATTTGTCTAATGGTGAACTGCACTGAATTTGGAAGTTTGACATAGTTGCGACTTTAGTGATCTAATAATAGTCTCTAACCCATTACTTTGCTTCTGTGCAGAAATGGTTGAAGAGTCATATGTTTTTACACCTGTAGAAACACTGCTTTGGGTGTACTGAGGTTTTTCCAGACAAGAGCCTATGTTCTAAAGCTGTTTCCCTTAATATCCCACAGTTTTTAAACATATGAGGTCCATTTTTTCAGCTGACAGTTAATGTTCTGCAATGTATCTTCTGTTAAGAAGACTTCTAGAGTGGAGAAGACAACTTTACAATTGTAAGAAGGAGCCAGAGGCAAATAAGCCATCAAGGGGTCACAGACAAGGAACATTGTAAATCCACAGTTTATTAACAATTTCATTAATGAATTAATACAGCTAATACAACAAGCTAAATGTTTCCCTTATTTAAGGTTAACGACAATAATTCTTGTTATTCTGCTAATTTTCTGGCAGGCAACATGCTAGAGGCAGGTGTAGTCAAAGATTTATACAGATTTGCACAGAAAAAAATACATTCTTTTTTACTGTAACATGCAGTAACTGAAGTCAACTGGAAGTTTCCCTCCATCAAACTGCAGTGCTGAAGGGCACTTCTGGGGATGAGTTGCAAGGTACAGAGTAGGGAAGGTAAACTCTTCCTTCCCCAGATGTAACACTCCCCATAACCTGATGTGATAAGTTCTGCAAATAAAACCAAACTTTTTTGAAAAAAAATCACAGGCTGCTCAGGGAGGCCTTGCAAGCTGTATCAAAGCCACAGGCTGGAGCTTCCTTAGCCAGTCTGTCTACTAGTTGAAAAAGCTTATACTTACAGAGACATAGTATGGCCCTGCAAAGTCCCGGATGACTCCAGCTGAGGTACAAATTCCCATATGACCAATGATGGGGAAAAGCCACCTATAGAAAAGAAGAAGAGTACAAAGGGGCCTGCTAGTCCTGCTCTTAACAGAAAAAGGAGTTTTGAAAAGCAGAAGGAGCTGCTGACTGAACAGAAGAGTAGATGGTAAACAACAAGAAAAAACTGTCTATTCATGCCTGAAGAGCTTACTTGAGTAAAAATCAAGTATTACCCTAAAGGGAGTCTTGTTCTGATTTCTTATGCTCTGTACAATGACACTATTTCTATTCGAACAAAATCACCTCCAGGCAACCACTGACGTAGAGGGAAAGGTCTGTAAGTTAGAAGTGCTGGAGATTTACTTCTTTCACACCTTCTCTTTGAAACATGGCTCCTACCAAGCCATAAAACTCACAAAATGATTTAGAACCAATTAGTTTCTCCCTGCCTAATTTACTTCACAGCGATGTTGCGAAGGTAAAAGGTGAGGAGGAACTGGGACTGAATTATGAGATACAACTAGTAAATGTTAACAGAAACTTTTTAGATCAGCAAAACCATGTGGCTAGATCATGCATGTATAATACAGTAACACATGTATTCATGGATCAGGTTCACAATTCTGCAGCCAGACTGCTGGCTGGTACGAATTACAGGGATCAACAGAGCTCAGTTGTCACGACTTCACTGGTTCCCAGTCCATTTCTACACTCAATCAGAAGTGCTAGTTATGACTTATAAAGCCTTACACAAGTGTTTGTCCAGGCTGTTTGAAGGACCTTTTTTCTCCCTATATAATCCACTCCCCCACATCTCTGAGATCTTATGGCGAGGGCCTTCTCTTGGTCCCACTGCCACTGCAGGGACATCTGATGAGGACTCAAGAGAACCCATTTTTGCTGGCTGCTCCCAGTCTATGGAATTACCTGCTTGCAGCAACAGGTGAGGAACACTCCTTTTCCTGAAAGAACTTATAGGGCTGTACTTTTAATAGGGGATGAGACATATTTTTACTAGGTATTTTATGTTTATTTGCATTTGCTTTAACTCTGTTTAGGTTGAATACTTTGACAGTAATATCATAATTTATGATGCTTTTAAACATATATACTGTTAGTTGTTGTGGGTTTTTCGGGTTCTTTGGCCAAAGCACCTGAAAACCCCACAACCACCATTAGATCCCGGACGTGAAAGTCTTCGAGGATACATACATACTGTTAAAGCTGTTGTACACCCTTGAGTCCCCTCACTGGGAGAAAGAATATAAATAAAAACAAGTCCATAGATAGACAGACAGACAGACAGACAGACAGAGGCAGAGTAGTAACAGACATCTGTAGAGCTTTTTGCAAGGAAGACTTGGTCTGGGAAGGGACAGGAGGCACCCACGCGCTGCCTACATCGTATTTATATACACTATGTAACTCGCCTTCGGTCCTTTTTAACGAGAAAGGTGGGGGTAAAACTATTTAAAATAAACAAATACAAAAATGCTCTTGTTCCTGCCCACCTTCCCTTTCATCGTGCCGTATTTTTGCAGTACTGATGTCTTTTTTGCTATTGTTATTTTACTTTAAAAGCCGTCTAAAAGAGTCCTCTCCTCCTGAGGAGGAATACACCGCCATGCTTGAACCACCTCCACCCCTTTTTCTGCAAGGAAGGGGGGGGTCCCCTCCTAACGCCCCCCCCATGAGAGAGGCCAGGCTGAGGTGGGGGCCATCCTCCCCCCGCGGTGCCCCATCCTTCTCTCACGGGCTCCAACGTGGCCGGCTTTCAGGGTCCCACCCTCCCTCCGGGGAGACCCGGGCCGAGCCCTCGGAGGCCAGGCAGGCC